GGTTTCCTCATGTCGGTTTCATCCTTCTAAGTGTTAGAAGCCGATGCCGCACACGCGAAACTCCAAAAGAGGACGGAAATAGGTCGAACTAAAACGAGGCGGGCACCACTTCTAAGGCTCTAAGATAGTCGCAGGAAGACCCCTAAGGCTAGATCCTAACTCCTACGAGAAATACTAGACCTCACGAAAATTGAGGTCAACAGTCCCTCAAGTGCAAATATATAATATTTGTGCCTAGCCCTGACCCGAGTGCTTGCGGTTTTCTTTTTTTGGATTTTTCGTGGAATTTTATCGAAACTTTTTGTTAAGCACTCGTGGTCTTTGACACGGGATCTTCCCTATGTTTTTGGTGACTTTCTTTGAGTTACTATTTGCCTTTTTTTTACTTCGAGATTTCCGTCGTGAGTCATCTGTCGATTTTCTTAAATTTTCTTTCGTCGTGGATCATTTGCCGCTCTTTCTTGAGTTTTCTAGGTGGTATTTCTTTTGTTAATACAATGCATGTTAGCTCATTTCTTAAATTTTGTCATTATATTGTTACCCGCTACTGTTTCTTTTACATACTATACATTAGAATAGGAGACTAGTAGTTAGTTTCATAGAAGGTACCCGGTAGCAGATCGTTGACTAAACAATTGCATATACCCTTGAAATTAACATCGAATCTGAAGATGCTACGACGGGGAGCTTGGAGCGAACACCATGGGCAGCACGATGAGGACACACAGAACAGCAACTTCGAGATAGATCTGCAACTTCAAAACAAGTTCATGTCAACTAAACATTTTCCTTAGTTTAAATAACAAGTCATAGGACTTCGAGGTAGTTTGCTTAGCGCAACATAAATCCTCATCTTATCTTTAGGCTATTGCATAACTCCGTTGTGCAATTATAAGTTCTAACACTTTTAGGATTCTGAGGTTACTGTACGGTATGGTGTAAATCCTCTTATCTTTTTAGATTATTTGCACGATCAGATATAGTGCGAATGTAAGTCCTAAATTCTAACGTAAATTGCAGAATTAAACATTGAATAACATTATTTCAAAGACATAAAGTCAAACAACAGGAATAGTTGGGAGGCCACCGGGGTTCTCCCTGGATCTGTGATATCCCCTACTCTTCGCCCCTTTAGATTCCTTAAAATAATTGTTCCTGTTTAAGCTACTCCCATTTGATTTTTCCATGTCCAATCTTGGAAACCTAAACTTTGAAATCCCTAAACTTTGAAATCTGAAAGGTCTGAAAGGTAAAATCACTGATCTTAATCGAGAGTATTCTTAAGTAACCCCGGTCATTTAAGATGTAATTAACTATAGGAGTTTGCCTTTGTAAGGAATTTAGAACTCAGGTAAAATAAACTTTATCTAATCCTTATATTAGGTAAGAGAACTTGTCGGTCATACATAAAGGTTTTGCAGACCAAACGAATGTCACAAACTTCTTAGTTTGTGTGGTTGAGTTTACTGTCAAGTGGTATGTTTATCGAGGTATGTTTATCCTTCGAGATGGTGTATTATTTATGGTATCGCGCTCAGCCGCCCAAACTATTTAATATGTGAGACTCGTTTGGTCTCATCTATTTTAAAACCAAAATGTTGCTTTCAAAAATCATATTTATATTAAAATTATTTTCATATTTACAAAAATCATTCATTTCCCTTTCAAAAAATAAAAATAAAAATAAAAATAGCGGTCGACAGTCTTTCACAGCGAGAAGGAAAAATGTAAGATAACCACATGCTATAATTGTAAAAATTCAAGTTTAGGCATTAGTTATGTAAACACCTAGTAATTGTGCAATATGTATGTAAATCTTCCTATGAATATAGTCGTTCAATATTGATAAAGAAAACAAAAGGCTGCTCATGTGATGATTGCATTAACAATAATAACAAAGACAAAGATTTACTAGCTGCATGAAATTGGGAGAAGTGTCTTTGGTAAATCTTCTACATATTTCTCAACTTCATGTGGTATCATTGTTGTGTGGTTTGGCACAAAATGAAATCTATGGTACAATCATAGAAGATCAAGCTGATTGCAGCTGTGCAGCCCAAGCACATGAAATTATGTAGAATAAATATATGTGCAACATAATGCTTTGCATGGTAAAACTTCCAAGCAAATAAGGGATATAACAGCGTTAAGCATTTTGATAAGGAAGAGTGTTGGAAGCCTTACCAAACAAAATCTTATAACAAGCCACGATTTGAATTATTTGATATAGGTGAAGAACTGGAAAATTGCCGTTAAGTCATTTTACAAGAGCTTTCAATGTGTCTAAGTGTAACTAGTCCAATACGCCCAAAAAATGAGTGAAGCTAAAACATTAAATTACTGTGAAAAATAACAAAATGACAAATGAGTTCAAGGGTCCATTGGTTGGAGTAGGATGAAAAGCTAAAATGTGTCTTACATGAGGATAGTTTATTTAAAGGGAAATGAATAAATAGTTGGCACAATTAATTGAAAGATTTTTTTTTTTAATTCGAATATCAAATTTTTATCTTGTTTTATTTGACAATTTATCATTGAAATTAGATGTGTGAGAATATCAAGTATCTTACAAATATTTTATTATTATTCTTGATTAATACCTGCACTAGCAAAATATCCACAGTAGTTTAGCATATCATTCTATAGGCAGTATTGGCACATGGAAGAGTAAGAAATAAAATATAGTGGCTCATAATTATATAGAAGTTGAATACAAATCCATGGCAAATGGGCTATATGAACTATGGTGATTGCAATGGGTTTTGGTAGAGTAAAAAAATTATAAATTCTCCAAAGAAACTTCTGTGACACTAAGACACTGATCAGTATAACCCACAATCATATCCAACAAAACAAAACAAAGCATACTGTGGTTGATCGTTAGGTTATAAAGAAAAAAGTCTTAATGGAAAATGTTTGCATGTCTATAATCCTTACCTTCTAAAAAAAACACAAATAACTACCAAAAGATTGCTTAAATCCAATTTTGATTTTGACAATAATTAATTGATATCCACCCTTCAACTTAGGGAGAAGTGGAAAACAGGTGCATGGAAACAATTCCTCTAAAAGTGAATGCCAGTAACAGCTAGCACTTGAAATCTCCTTTTTATCTGTATTTCAAATTTGTGTATTGTTAGCTTTAGGAAAGTTATCAAAGAAAATAAATTTGCACGGATACCTAAAATCTAAAAATTATTATATTATTGTTCTTAATTAATAATAAGTCTGAAAAATTCCTTTCTCTTCAAACCTTTAGTTACTTTCAGCAATTGAAAGCAATTCTTGGGATACTTGAAGAGTTCAAGCTTCTTATCACTCAAAACTCACACAATGAAGAAAGTTAAGAGATTTTTTTTAAAAAAAAAAGTAGTTAACATACAGTTTTTGTGGCAGAAGTTGGTGGCATAAACAATGTCAAACCCCCATCAATGCACAGCCGTTTACGGTAAAATGTAGCCGGCCTTGGAGCTAAGTACCTAAAAATGTCATTGTCAACAAAGATACTTGATCAAAAATAAATAAATTAACATGAGCATACAAAAATGTAGAAGTTAATGAGTAATAAGATAATTTAGCATTAGCATACCCAGGAATAAAAGAAGAAGTAATGACTGCATTGATAAGGTCTTCCTTGGAATCAAATTGATCAACAAGTAAACCTTTTGGCCTCCATGATAATTGAGTTATAGCAACTACAAAAAGGGAAAAAAAAACAATAAGATGAATATAATTCAAAATTATTTGAAGAACCTCGTCAGAAAGAAATAACACTGGAAGCAGCATGCAGATAAAAGTCCATATGAATCCAAAAACTCTTCCAATGAAAAAAAGATAAAAATAAAACATAGAAAAAGAGAAACTAGCATGGAAAAGATTACGCCTAGAAATCTGTTAGCATCTCGTAATAACATCAGGTCGACGACTAAGATTACCCCAAACCAAGATAGTTACTTTCCTTAAGCAAGCTTAATTTACCAGGCTAAAATGTAGACCATAAGTTCCCACTTTACCTTGCCATAACTATTCCCCTTTTTTTGCGTTGGTGACTTATGATATCCCTGGTATCTCATCAATTATTTATTCAGGAACATTAGCTCTTGCAGCTAATGAAACAGAGCAAACTTGACAGAAAATTCATCAAGGTTAACAACAGTGATGATGAGCCCTAAAGCTTAGGCCAACAAATTACATATATACTCACCACGGACCCTCCCATTAGACCTAATGTGAACATCTTCTGGTAGAAATTCATTTAGAACATTTCTCAGGACTGCCTGCATAAACAAACAGGAGAACAGGTCAAAGAATATATCTCAAATTGTAAGTTGAATGGAATGAATACCAGACGCATCTTATGAAAGAGAAACTTTCCTTTGCTGGCAAAGATCAGCAATGAAAATAAAAAATGGGTATTTACATACATACCATACAATTCTTGTGTATTAACATATCTAACAACTAAATTTTCATATTGACATATATAACACTCTAATCTTATTATCACATAAAAAATACCACTGCTAATAACTTTCTAAAAAAGCAGGACACCTTCTTAAGAACAGGCTCATGACACCAAAGTATTAAAAATGTAATCATCAAACTTTAGGTGTTAGCTAGTTTTATATAAAGGAATTGTGTGGTATACAAGTAAATTTCCCATAAAAATTTACTTCAAATTAAAAAGCAATGGTTGAAGATTGCAGTTATGCCATATGCAGACGCAGACCACCACCTTCCTTTTCCCTCGATAATATTGAAGAAATAGAATAATGAACTGTGTGAATTTGTGGTATAAAAGAAATCAAAATAGTATTTCACATACTTTACTTCCAAAAATGGAAATGTTCTAACGATGAAATGCTTCTTAACTAATAATCTCATGCCACCACTTTGTACAAAAAAACATTTTCAACTAATTGCTCCAATAAAACATATGTTAGAATAAGAGGACACAAGATAGGCTACCTTCAAATTTTCATATTGACAGAGAATACTTTAATGTCATGAGAAAAATGATATGTGTGACAAGCAACTTTTCTTACTCGAAGCACTTAAAGAAAGGATTGCCATGTATCATTATTGTATGAAGCATTGACACTTCTAGAGGATCACCATATTGGGTGAGATAAAGTCATACAGACAGCATCCGCTCTGCTAGGGTTTTTTTTCCTCCGAGGCGATTCCATGGCAACCCGCATAGTTCGTCTCGTCTCCTCTTCTCCTCTTCTATCTTCGACGATGGTTTTCAATCACACACTTCAAAGCCCTTGCTGGTGACAAATCTACTGGTGCTCCTAAATCTTGTATGTTCCCACAGCCTTTCACGACACCTTAGCTTTTGGCGACAATTCTAGTTTTATTAAGAAAGCAGACCGTAAAAATGGAAAACCAACTATTCTCATCTCTGAAGTCAAATGTTGTACCTTAGCTTCCTCTTGTCGCCTTGCCTTGGCCGGCAAATTTCTTTATGAGCACCCTAAACTTGACGTTATTCAAAAAGAGTTTGAGTTAATGCATTTGGCGGGGAAATGGAAAATCGGGCAACTAGATGGGAGACATATACTCATTCAATTATCCAACGACGATGATTGCACTCGTTTATTTGCTATGATTACTCAGGATAGATAATCGCGCGATGAAGATTCTGAAATGGACAATTGATTTCGACCCACTCACAAAACCCCCTACCATCCGTCTGACCGCGCTTCCCAGGTCTGAAATTTCACCTCTTAAATCATAAACGATTGTACTCTATCGCCACGATATATGATAAGTCTCTCAAAACAAACATCCATACCTTCAAGCTCAGTCGACCATCTGAAGCTAGGCTTATGATTGAACGTGATATTACTCTAACTTTTCCTGAGAAAATCTGGATTGGTTCGCAACATAACGGATATTGGCAAAGGGTTGAAATTGAACAATATCATTTGTATTACTCTCATTGCCGTATGTTTGGGCACTCTAACTCTCTCTGTCATCATTTACATCTTCACTTAAAATCTCAAATAAACGGTGCACCTTCCAAACCCCCCCACCTGCTCATGCTCACTCAATCTCCACACCTAGCACTGATTATAATACTCTGAATGCTGAAAATTTGGAATGAATTCCTCCTGCTCTTACTCACTCAAACCCCACACCTACTGCTATTATCACAAATATCGATTGTAATCCTGTTAATGCTGGTAACCTGGAGGGAAATATAGAAGGGCTTTTAGTTACTTCCTATAACCTGAATGATGTTACTTTTGTAGGGCCTGTATCTCCGCCGCCTGTTGACAATTTGGTGTGTCAACAGGTAGAACAACACGGTCCTGATGTTCACCATGTCTTCGAGGATGAAAATGGTATGAATAATACTACGAATAATATTATCTCTAATGTTGATCTACATATAAAATTGAATGAGGCAACTGCAAATTTAGAAAATGAATGAATTATTACAAAAAAGGGGGAAGAAGAATAATGAGGTTTTACATCCCAATGAGGAGAACACCACTAATGTCACTGATGATAATTATCATTCTGATGGGGAGTAGCAGCATGCCCTAACTAAAAGTTTTAGGAGAGGTGAGCTACTTCATGATGCTTAATATTATGGTTTGGAATATTAGGGGAGTACCTGACCCATACTCTCTTTAGACTTAAATACTTATGTAGGGTCCATAAGCTATTTATTTTTGTTATTCTTGAACATCTTGTCTCTGTGCACAGAGACAAAATTTTGAGAAAATTTAAACACTATAATCATTACTGCAATATCAACAATAAGATTTGGGTTTTTTTGGAAACCTAAAGTCGGTTTATCCATTATTTAAAACAATGATCAAGTTGTCATTTGTTCCTTCAAAATGGAGAATTTTCATAACTAGGCTACTTTTATTTATGCTGACTGTTTTATTCATGATAAATTCTCACTATGGACAAAATTAGCTCTTATGGGTGATACATTATCTGATAATTGGCTCGTTGCTAGGGATTTCAATATGATGATGAATCCTTCTTAGAAGAAGGGAGAGGAAAAATGTGATATGCCTCTTATTAGCAAATTTTGTGACAAACTTACTAATACAGGTCTGTATGACTTAGGTTACTCTGGTAGTCCTTACACTTGGAGAAGAGGCCTCATTTTCCAAAGACTCGACAGATTCTTTGGTAATTGGTATTTGCTAAATTATTTTAGAGTTTCTAATGTGCAACATCTTAATCATGTTGCCTCTGATCATAATCCAATTCTCTTATCCTTGGTTTTCCTTACCGCCCCTTCCACGTATAATTTCAATTTTTTTTAATATTTGGACTTCTCAGACAATTTTCTTAGCCAAATTCAACAGTCCTAGATTATTGATGGAGTCAGCAATTCCTGATATTTACTATGACAACTACACAAAAAAGTAGCTTCTCAGCTTAGGGATTTGGAATTAGAAAGTTTTTGACAATGTATATCACAAGGTCCTGGAGGCACAATTGAAGGTTGTTTCTCTGGAATCCCAGGTTTTTAATAATTTTATTTCTGCATATGAATTAAGTACTGCTCACAAGTTTTTTCTTGAAGATATCAATATGGAGGAGAGCTTTCTTCAGCAGAAAGCTAATGATATTTATTTCAATGATGGGGATAGGAAAATCAAGTATTTTCATGCCACCATTAAACATAGAAGGAACATAAATGCAATCCTCAAGATAAAGGACACAAATGGACGCTAGCTCACTGAGCAAAACGAAATTGGTAACAGCGTTGTTCATTATTTCACTGATTTATTTGACTCTTTTCTACAAGTTTCCCCAATTGATCCTACTATTTCACAAGAGAAAATGATTATATATCAAAGCTCTCTCTCGATCATCCTCCCTTTGAGGAGAAAATTTCCAAAGCCTTCAAAGATATAAATAAGAACAAAGTTGTCAGACCTGACGGCTTCACCTCTGAGTTTTATGTAAAATGTTGAGGCATCATTAAAAAGGAAGTGATTCTAGTTATTCAATTTTTTTTCTTGGTGAAAAAACTTGCAAATATTTTATCTCATCTCTTATTGTGCTTATCCCTAAACATGCACAAAAAATAGACGAGATCACTTCAGGCCAATTTGCCTAATTTTTGTGTTTTCTAAAGTCATCAGCAAAATTATAGTAGAAAGGTTACAACCTCATTTATCTACTTTTATCACACCCCAAGAATTAGTATTTATAATAGGCAGAGATATTACTGATAATATCTTGCTAGCTCGAGAACTCATTGAGGACTTAGATAAAAAATGCAGAGGTGACAATCTGGTGGTGAAACTTGACATTAAAAAGCTTTTGATACTATAAACTGAGATTTTATCTTAAATGTCCTATTTGCTAAAGGTTTTCACAGGGACTTTTGTTTGACTATCAAAATATGGCTTGAAAATAATTATTATTGTGTATTGGTGAATGGTGTTTCTCATGGGTATTTCTCTACTAAGAGGAGCATCAAACAAAAGGAGATATTCTATTCCCAACAATTTTTATCATTGTTTTTGATTATCTCTCATGTTTAATTGAAAAACAACAACTACTTTTACGATATACACAATTTTCTCACAAATCCAAAATTTTGGTGAGACATTTATTTTATGCAGATGATGTTATCATATTCTCTAACGCTGGCAAGAATTTCATTAAAAGGTTGATGGGCACCTTAAACACTTTTCAAAACATATTTGTTCTCATTTTCAATCAATTTAAGTGTCAGTTGTTCTTTAGAAAATCGGTGAAGCAAAACATTATCACCCGGTCCGTCAACTATACAGGTTATATCTTTTCTTCTCTTCCTATCAAATATTTAGATGTAAATATTTTGAGAGATAAGAGGAAACAAACCCAACTGGATGTTTTAATTGAGAAGATCAAGGTCAGAATTCATGATTAGAGGAATATTTTCTTATCTAATGGGGGCAGGCTAACTCTTCTCACAAGTGTTTTACAAAGTATTCTTCTTTATGCTTTACAGGTGTTGAACTTAAAGAAAAGCACATAAATTACTTTGGAGAGAATTTTTAATAATTTTTTATGGGCGGGAAACAACACTAGAAAAATCTGGTCCGGTTGGCAAAAAGTGTGCAAACCTAAAAACTCGGGTGGCCTTGACTTTAAAAGCCTAAATCATCTTATTGATATCAACAAGTTTAAACTCTGGTTCAAATTTAGAGAAGGGAATTCCCTTTGTGCTCAATTTTTATTTCATAAATATTATTTTTTTGATGATCCTTCTAATGTTGAGTGGAAACCTAGGGACACTAAAATT